TGCTGCAGCAGCAGGAGGAGGAGGAGGAGCAGCAGCAGCAGCAGCAGCAGAAGCAGCAGCAGGAGAAGAAGCAGCAGGGCTTGACTTGCCAGACTGATAGTACACAATATCCACCTCTGTTTTAAAACGCGGACACGCTCCTTTTTCTGCTTCTTTTTTACTTTCTTTATCTTTATCTTCTGCTTCTTCTTCTCCCCAGATGTCTTTTAATAGATGTAAATGTCCTGATGCTGCTGCTCCTTTGCTGCTGCTGCCGTCGCTCCGTTCTCTTCTTCCTCCTTCACCTGCTGCTGCTGCTGCAGCAGCAGCAGCAGGGGCAGCAGCTTCTGCTGCTTCAGCTGGTCTTATAAGCGCAGCCCCAGAGTCAGAGGGAACAGCAGAATGTTCCTGCTGGTGCTGCTGTTGCTGCGGCTGTTGCTGCTGCTGTTCTTCCTCCTGAAACAGCTGCTGCTGCTGCTGCTGTTGCTGCTGCTCCTGCTCCTGCTGCTGGTTTGTCTGTGGCTTCTTTGTGATGGAGTATGCAGGGGTGAGTTCGACAGAGAATGCAGATGTCGGTAAGTCCTGGTGCTCTCTGTCTTTGCTTCCCCTTGCATGCGGCACACACGCCGCATCAGGCCTCCCTTGAGGGTATTCCTGCTGCATAGGAGCTGCCTAAATTCTAAGCCCTTGTTCAACATCCGAAGGAAAGTAGACATAAAAACCCTAAACCCTAAACCCTAAACCCTAAACCACAGCGGGCGATCAAAGGCCTACGGGCCCCGCTGCAACTCACGATGATTCACCAAGTAAATAAGTGGAATTATCATGGTTTAATATGAATAATAATTCAAGAAAAATGAAAGTCAATATGCAGCCCTCTCAACCCTGATCGCTGTAGTAGAACCCTTCTCGGGCGTGCGCAGCGGGCGGAAGAAAAGCAGGGAATCGAAGTGAATAATATATTTGTGTTGAGAAATATAACAAAGAAATAAATGTTCTTTTAAATCAAATGAGTTATTCTTTCCTGAATTGCTGGCCGCATGCAGCAACTCCATAGCACAGCGCTCGGCAGCAGACCAGCGGTTCAGTGGGTGCTGTTTGTCTTTTTCTTTGCGTAGAACTTCGAATTTAAATATTTAATTTAATTTATTTTAATAAAAATACCTCAAAAACGAAATATCTCGGAAAACCGTTCATGGGAACATGCAAATTTGTCTTGCTTTGCACTGCCCTCACCCGCGGCGAAGGGCTATGGCGACGCGCCGCCTTACCTGAAATTTTATCTTAATATCTCAGCTTTGAGGTTTTCATTTTGAATGAGTTATTTATAAGAGTTTTTATTAATTAAAATGACTTCCAAACCCCCATGGTGAGGCCGCCCCCTCCCCACGGAGCACCTGTTCTACTTATGTTTGCTGGCGAAAGCAGAAAAGAAAACAGTTGCATGTTTGTGTTTATTTTTCTCTCTTTCTTCAACAACCACAATTAAATAACTTTGCTGATTTATATTGCATTAAGAGTGCTTAAAATATTCATCTTAATGCCTCGGCGTCTCTGCATCGGGTAGCTGCGTCGCTGCATTTTTTTTCTTTATTAAAAAATATCTGACAATTTAAAGGTTTTCTTC